AATATATCCGGTGACAAAATTTGCATATGTGCATGTCAGTAAGCGTAGGCAATGGGTTGGCACAATAATACATTCAATTTAAAATGGAACTGAAATATAGCAAGTAGTATTATAATAACGGTATTTGTCGAGGTTACAGAGATCGGGTTGGTAGTTTAGTGGACACTGCTACACAAATCCAGCTTCCTCTTAAAGACCTCGACGGAAGCAGACATAACGACATCCACAGGCAGGGCATTCCAGGCTTCTAGCACTCTGTTGGAGAAGAAGAACTTTCGTGTGTCCAGTCTGGCCCCTGTCACACGTAGTTTGAATGGATGGCGGTATGAATTGGCGGTATGAATATTTCCAGCTGATTTCAATATCCACGTAAATTTAAGTATATTTTGCTTAAGCGCCTTTTACCATGTTCACGTAATGGTTGGTTGTGTTTTGTTTAAATGTCATACTTAAGAAGTGTACGCCTCCGGGTAAGGTAGTTTGCAGTTAAGAGACTTCTAGAATCCTGAAATTTCCATTCAGATGGCTGCTTATGAAGTCGACATCATGACCTACACTCATTTGGGAATCGTTTGACCCCATTTGTAATTTCGTAAAGAAACGCATGATTCTGAAAAAGAAGAGGAAATTGTAAATTATTTAAACAATGTCAAGTTAAGTGCGCCAGCACACTGCCAGATAATTAGCCGGCTTCCTATTGGCGAAAAACCGTGTTCTCCGTGACACTTGTGCAAATGCGATTCATGTTGAAGGTAACAGCGTGTTGATCTGACTGGACATATTACATCCGGCACAGCTTGTGAAATTCAAAGAATAAGCGTCCTTTTGGCGTCAGAGCAGGGCTGCAGTGTAGCGGTGGTGGAGGAGGTCGTATATAAGGGAGGATGAGGGAAATGCATGCGCTTTAGTAGAGGCCAATTTCAGAGACAGATAAACAACTAATGAAAATTACAAAAAAATAAGAGGCGATCGCGAACGATTGAACAGAGGCCTCTTCAGTTTTGAAAGTCGCCCGCATATAGGCACTTTGTAAGGAGAGTATCCGCATTCGGAGACCCTCGTCAGTCGGTCCAGTCCAAATGAAGGCATAACACAACACGTAAACTGTCTTTCTGTACGGAATGCCGTTGGTGCGCTACAAAGCGTGTGTTGAGTTTCGAAACGTACGTTAGTGAAATGCCCATAATTACCAATAACATCTGGCTCAAATACGAATTGTTCGCCATATTTCAATTAAAGCGAGCACAGTCTACATTCCCAAAAAAGAGTATTTAGATGCGCTTGGTTCTGCTGGCATGCAGCATCATCAATAGAAAAATCCGAACAGCAAGGCTGTAGCTGTCTGCGCTCAAGCACCTCAGCACCTCCGTTAACACATGTCGTCTTCAAGCGGCGTGACACGCGTGACATAAATTGCGTACGGACGTGACTCAACCTCCGGCCTGGACGACATATTTATATATATATATATATTGTATATATATTGTATATGTATGTATTGTATGTATGTATGTATTTTATGTATGTATTGTATATATATGTATTGTATGTATATATATTGTATATAGATATATATTGTATATATTATATATTGTATATATATTGTACCACTCATCGGATCACCTACGTACAATATAGCTAAGTGGTTGTACAAGCATCTGAAGCAGTTAACCCATGGATCTGACTACAGCATCAACAATTCTCTCGCGTTCCTCCAAAGGATCCAAGGCCTCGAAGTAAGTGCCGATGAATGCCTCCTGTCCTTTGACGTCGTTGCCTTATTTTCTTCCATACCACACGATTTGGCAATTGACTGCTTCGCCCAACGCTTACAGGAGAATCCTATTGAGATTCCAACTCAACATATTATAGAACTGCGCAAACTCTGCCTTAGAAACTACTGTCAATTCGACAATAAGTTCTACCAACAGGTAAAGGGAACCCCAATGGGCTCGCCAATATCTGGACTGATCGCAGAACTTGTATTGCAGCGACTAGAAAAGGAGGTTTTCCAAGATCTCAGCCCCAAAGTGTGGCTTCGCTATGTAGACGATACCTTTGTCGTGATAATGAACTGCGAAGTTGAACGGCTGCATCAGAGGCTGAATTACGTCTTCCCGGCCATACAGTTTACTCGTGAAGAGGCAATAGGGGACAGCCTGCCATTTCTTGATGTGAAAATACAAAGGCTGAGCGATGGTAGTCTCGCGACGAGCGTCCATAGGAAAGGATCTAATTCCGAAATTATCCTCAATTATGGAAGCAACCACCCCGCAGCTCACAAAAGGAGCTGCGTTCGAACTCTGTTCCACCGGGCCTATCGTTATTGCAACAGCGCCGATCTCCTTAAGAAAGAGCTTGCCTACTTGTATCGGTTGTTTCGATCCAACGGATATCCGACAAGTTTCGTAAAGAACTGCCTCAGACACCAGGCACAACCGCAAGCTCCCACCCTCAACGGAGAAACTGTGTCTCGACAATTCTTCTCTCTGCCTTATATGCAGGGAGCGTCCGAAGTAATCGCCCGGCAGTTAAATCGCTCTGGTATTCGCATCGCCCACAAACCAGCATCCTCACTACGCGCGGCGCTATCTCGAATCAAGGATCCCCTCCCCAAAGAGCAACAAACAAACGTAATTTATCGCATCCCGTGCTCAAATTGCTCTTGCGTGTATGTTGGTCATACAGGTCGAAGCCTGGGCACCCGTATTAACGAACACAAACTGGCTGTCCGTCGGCGAGACCCTCTGTCCCTCGTCTTTGCTCACGCACTCGAGTGCGACCACCGATTCAATTGGGATGGCACTGAGGTCGTCGCCATGGCTAACACAAAACGGGCGAGAGAATTTCTCGAGGCTTGGTACTCCGATGCTGGTAGTATCAACCGCCATGTTGATCTGGACGCCCATTATGAGGGCCTACGCTCACGACTTACTGCCCCCCGCCCTGATGCCACAGCAACGGCCGCCAACTTAGCCACCCGGAGTCCAATTGATCCACCATTACACCCTCCCCCTCCAGCACAGGCATCCATAATTGTTCAACCTCCCCCCTCGCTCAGAGACCTACCATGACTTTGTGATCATCCCTCTCATTGGCCGATAGTCTGTCTGTCCTGTCGCGCTTACTAGTCCAGTGTGACAAACAAACTTTCTCCCCAGTTTTCATTTCGTCTGACGACGGGTTGGTGTCACCAGCTCGAAAATTCACGAGTACAACTCGATTTTTCCGAAGAACCTCTTCCTGTTTTCATTATATCGACTCGGAATGCATAACAACTCTGATCTACATATATATATATATATATATATATATTGGAAGGTAGACATCCCAACAAATATAAGTTGAAGGCAGAGGCGTTCTTTGGGAAAAGGTACTTTATTGCGTGAATTTTCGACGCCGGTTCCCCAGGTCGTCGTCAGACGCAGACTGAAAGTATATGTGCCGAAAACATTTAACATCTGGCAGTGCACATGAAAAAATCGATAATCGTTCGCGTTTGCGCCCGTGAGCGGCCGCTATTTGCGTCATTCCGTCCCGATTGGCTCTCGTCTCTTCCATTTCTCCTTGAGACTTTTGTACGCGGCGTCCAACTCGATGTGACGGTTGATGCACGATTCATCCGAGTGCATGGCCTCAAGGAACTCTCGGCCTTTCTTGAAGGGGCAGGCACCGACAATCCGTGTTCTGTCCCAAGCAAACGTATGCCCGGTGTCCAAGCTATGCATGGCTACTTGAGACAGGTGGTCTCGCCTCTTTACTGCAAATTGATGTTCGTGAATGCGTGTTGAGGCAGATTTTCCAGTTTGGCCACAATAGACGGCAGCGCATTCATCACACGGTATCTTGTAGACGACCTCTTTCTTGTTCAGCTGGTTAACCCTATCCTTAGGATGTACCAGCTGAGAGCGCAAAGTAGTCGTAGGTTTGTGCGCTACTCGAATTTGGTGCTTCCTTAAGTGTCTTTCGACAAGTTCAGACACATTCTTGATGTAAGAAAGAATTCGCCATGTGCTTAGTTCAGGCGTCTGATTGGAACTAACCGACTCCTTCTCTCTTGATTATCGCTGCCTAATGCATCTGCGCACAAAATCCTTAGGGTATCCATTTTGCGAAAATAATTCGTTCAAGTAGTTCAGTTCGGGTCGATAGCCTTCTTCGTCCGAGCAGTGTGTTTTTGCTCGACGAAGCAGACGCATTAAGGCACACCGTTTGTGAGAAATGGGCTGGTTGCTCGTATAAGGTAGGATGAATTCAGCGTAAGTTTCTATTACTCGTAGTACTACTTGTTTGTAGAATGCGCATTACGTGGTTATTCCACAGTGGCTGATTGTGTTCGACTCAAACGTTCATTGAAATTTCGGTTCTGACCCTAAAATTCATGTCCAGGAAATGTACCTCCAAGTCCTGCACTGATTAATTTCTGAAATTATTCGCTTGATTATTCTCTGGAGTTCATATACCAGAAACCGCTAGAGAACGCTAGGGGTCCCACTGAAGAGCCGAACCCCTCGCAGCTGTGTCAAGCAGCGGCAGAATATCGGCGAAACACGTGTCTGGGCTTTTTGCAAGTATCTGCGTCGGGAGTACGGTATAATACCATTACTATAAGGATTTCATACTACTCGTAGTACTACTTGTTTGTAGAATGGATATTACGTGGTTATTCCACAGTAGTTGATTTTCTTCGACTCAAATGTTCAGTGAAATTACGTTTCTGACCCTAAAAAGTCATGTCCCGGATATTTAACTCCAAGTCCTGCACTGATTAATTTCTGAAATTATTCACCTGCTTATTATCTGCTGTTCATATACCAGAAACCGCTAGAGAACGCTGTGGGTCCCACTGAAGAGCCGAACCCCTCGCAGCTGTGTCACGCAGCGGCAGAATATCGGCAAACCCCGTGTCTGGGCTTTCAGCAAGTATCTTCGTCGGGAGTACGGTATAATACCTTTAGCATCTTGAATATATATATATATATATATATATATATATTAAAGGTATTATACCGATTCAAGAAAACAGGTTCTTTCTTAAGCAGACCATCGCAGCTGCAGTAACGACAGGCCCGGTGGAAAAGGGTTCGGACACAGCTCATTTAATAGACCGTCGGATGGTTGCATTCATAATTAAAATTGACGTCAAAACTGGAGTCTCTTCGGCAGATATTTGTCGCAAAATGAATGAAGGCAAAGAAGCCCAAAGCAGTGATGTAGCAATCCACCCCTCAGACACTGTCGTCTCCGCTCTGATATATATATATATCTTAAAGATATTATTCCGTACTCCAGAAGAAGATAAATGCTAAAAGTCCAGACACGTGTTTCGCCGATATTCTGCCGCTGCGTGAAACAACTGCGAGGGGTTCGGATCTTCAGTGGGACCCCCAGATATCTCTAGCGTTTTCTTGTATATGAACTCCAGAGAATAATCAAGCGAATAATTTCAGAAATTAATCAGTGCAGGACTTGGAGTTAAGTATCCGGGACATGACTTTTAGGGTCAGAACCGAAATTTCAATGAAAATTTGAGTCGAAGAAAATCACCTACTGTGGAAAAAGCAAGTAAAGCCCATTCTACAAACATGAAGTACTACCAGTAGTATCAAATACATATAGTAAAAATACTATACCGTAGTCCGGATAAAGATACATCCTAAAAGCCCAGACCCGTGTTTCGCCGATATTCTGCCGCTGCGTGACACAGCTGCGAGGGGTTCGGCTCTTCAGTGAGACCCCCAGCGTTCTCTAGCGTTTTCTGGTATATGAACTCCAGAGAATAATCAAGCGAATAATTTCAGAAATTAATCAGTGCAGGACTTGGAGTTAAATCTCCGGGACAGGACCTTTTAGGGTCAGAACCGAAATTTAACTGAACATTTGAGTCGAAGAAATTCACCTACTGTAGAATAACCACGTACTTCCCATTCAAAAAACTAGTAGTACTACGAGTAGAATGAAATCCATACAGTAATTGTACTTTAACGTACTCCCGACGTATAAATTGCTAAAAGCCAAAAAACGTGTTTCGCCGATATTCTGCCGCTGCGTGACACAGCTGCGAGGGGTTCGGCTCTTCAGTGGTACCCCCAGCGTTCTCTAGCTTTTCTGGCATATGAACTCCAGAGAATAATCAAGCGAATAATTTCAGAAATTAATCAGTGCTGGACTTAGATTTAAATCTCCGGCACATGAATTTTAGGGTCAGAACCGAAATTTCAATGAACATTTGATTTGAAGACAATTAACTACTGTGAAATAACCACGCAATGTCCATTCTACAAACCAGTACTACTATCATTAGTACGAAATCCATATATTAATGCTATTATTCCGTAATCCCGACGTAGATACTTGCTAAAAGCCCAGACACCTGGTTCGCCGATATTCTGCCGCTGCGTGACACAGCTGCGAGGGATTTGGCTCTTCAGTGGGACACCCAGTGTTCTCGAACGTTGTCTGGTATACGAATTCCAGAGAATAATCAAGCGAATAATTTCAGAAATTATTCAGTGAAGGACTTGGTGTTTAATATCCGGGACATGACTTTTTAGGGTCAGAACCGAAATTTCAATGAACGATTGAGTCGAGCACTTTCAAATACCCCGAATAACCACGTAATTCCAATTCTACAAAAAATTAGTACTAAGAGTAGTATGAAATCCATTTAGTAAATGTATTATACCGTAGTCCCGACGTAGAAACTTGCAAAATTCTAGTCCCGGAGATTTAACTCCAAGTCCTGCACTGATTAATTTCTGAAATTTTTTGCTTGATCATTCTCCGGAGTTCATTTAACAGAAACCGCTAGAGTACGCTGGGGGTCACATTGAAGAACCGAAACCCTCGCATGTGTGTTAAGCAGCTGTAGAATATCGGCGAACCAGGTGTCCGGGCATTTAGTAATTATCTTTGTCGGGAGTACGGTATAACAACTTTACTATATGGATTTCATACTACTGGTAGTGCTACATGTTTGCAGAATGAGCATTGCGTGGTTATTCCACAGTATTTCATTGTCTTCGACTCAAATGTTCATTGAAATTTCGGTTCTGACCCTAAAATTCATGTCCCGGATATTTAACTCCAAGTCCTGCACTGATTAATTTCTGAAATAATTCGCTTGATTATTCTCTGGAGTTCATATACCAGAAAACGCTAGAGAACGCTGGGGGTCCCACTGAATAGCCGAACCCCTCGCAGCTGTGTCGCGCAGCGGCAGAATATCGGCGAAACTCGTGTCTTGGCTTTAGCAGGTATCTACGTCGGGAGTACGGTATAATACCTTTACTACATGGATTTCATACTACTGGTAGTTCTACTTGTTTTTAGAATGGTCATTAGTTGGTTATTTCGAGAGAGAGAGATTAATACTTTATTTTGAAAATACCTTTCAAAACTTTCATCAAAAACGGTTCTCCAGTACGCAGTGATTACCATAGAGATTAACAGGTATTGGACAGCTGGACATAATTATATATGAAGTAAAAGGACTTTAAGGTGCAAGATCGAGTTTTAGTTTTTGTTTTTCAACATCTTTGCAGGTGAGATACCGGGCTAGAAAGGGCAGTATGGAATTCCGATAGGCCGAAGTGCGGCAAGGGATGTGGCGGCAGCATCGACGCATGGGGCGTAAGGGTTAGGCAGCCATTAACTCATTATGAAGGGGATGGACGGTGTCATTCAGTATTCGGTCAGCGAATTGCTCCAACGAGTTGAAGTGTCGCTGAACGATGATATCAACTAAAATATGACAGGAAACACCAGCAGCAGAGGCGAGCATTCTAATGACACGTTTAAAAATAATTAGATCTTTTTTAAGTAAAGCTGGAAAAATAACTGGAGAACAATAAAGAATGAGTGGAAGAATACAGCCATCTATGAATCGCCAGATTAGGGACTGGGGTGTGTGATATGAACGTAGACGACGAATGTAATAAACAAGTTTTTGAATGTTTTGTTAAAAGGGTTTCCATATGAAGAGAGAAAGAGAGATTTGAGGATAAAGTAGCACCTAGGTACCGGAAAGAAGATACCTCATTGGGAAGAATATCCGAGGGTTCAGGAATGGGAG